GTTTTGAAATCTAAAGCATGGTGAATTTGCTGCCCTCCTGCCTGTTCAAGTACAGGGCATGCTAATCTTTGAGGTCCTGTCTCAGGATCCCATTTATCAACTACGGGGGTTGAGGGCCACTCAGCTGTCTCCATAGGTGGAGCTGTTGGTTGAATTACGCCCTCTGGTGATAGAACAGAGTTAGTAGCAGCCTCCTGTTGTAGCTTCCCCCCTGATAGCTGTTTCTCCTCTAAGCTTTCTTCCTTTAAATTTTCTTCCTCTGTCTGACTAGCTCGAGAGACCTTCTCTTTTGCTTGATCTAACATGTTTTCTACCATAGTCTGGACCTCTAACAATTTACTTAACATTCTTTCAGTTTGTTTTTTACTAATTTCTAATCTACTATAAAGATAATGCAACCCATCAAGATAACACAAAACAAAACCGAAACAGAATGAAACAAAAACGGAACAAAAATTGTTGTATCAATTTTCATATTTTCTTGACATGTGCATTTGTGGTCTATTTCTATCTCTTCCTCAGGGGCGAACAACTTCAAACCTTGAGCCAACCATTTTTCCCAGTTTGCCTGAGAAAGTTCTAGGGATAGGCAGCTTGAAACAAAAACAAAACAAATCAAAACAAGAACACATTGTTTTTTGAAATGGTCACCCATTCTCTCGCCTTCCCTCAGGGGCGAGCAATTTCACTTACCTCCGAGCTTCAGGCTTTCCCCGTACGGGCCACCAAATGCCGCAGTCCAGCTGGGCACAAATCACGAGCCACTGAAGCAGGAACAAACTTTATTTCTGAACTCCACCAGCACACTCCACACACGCTCCTGGCAACTCCCCCAAACGCCACGCCGCCTCCCCAGGAACCAGCAACCGGAAAATCCCTCCTCCAGAACTTCCCCAACCAATGGGAACTCTCCGGGAATCCCCGTGAGAGCTCAAGGGGAACTCAACGGGAACTCCGCCAGAACTCAAAAGTCATCATCTTAATGGCTCGCTAGTGTCACCTCTCAACCACTACTTCTGGCAAAAATGCCATGCGTCATCCCAACTCGGCTGTGGCCCTCAACAAACAATTTAGTAGGACTGTATCCCTGGACTATAACTCGTGCAAGTATTCTTAGTTATTCCCCTTTCCCATCCCGTTTAGAAGAGACAATGCTAAGGGGCTGGATGTACAGCAGCCCTACCCCTAGGACCATAAAGCCTGGGTAGAGTGTTTGGTTATTTAACAATTTTTTTCTTTTCCCTTTCCCTTGACAGAAATGCAGGGGAGTTTTCTTGGCTCTTTACACTGAGAACCTGGTGGTGCTCTTGGAGGGAAGAGCCACAAAAGGCTGGGGGCTGCCCTAAGACTCTGGCCCCCAGGAATTTCTCCCTCCGCACTCGGCTTCTGGCAATTCACCAAACTTACAATTTAAATGTCCCCTGTCTATGGCTGTGGTGGCTTCTGCCCCAGGTTGCTCACCTTGGCTGAGATTTATCAGTCTCTCCAGATTTGGGGTTGGCAGTTTTCCCCTGAGACCTCAGTTCTTTCATAGATACAAGAAAAGCCCTTGATTTTCGGTTGCTTTCTTCTTGTTGTAGGAGAGGAGTGATGATTTCCAACGTTTTTGCATTCAGAGCCAAAACCAGCAGTCTAGTGAACTTTCAGATCTCTGTTACGTTTAGATATGTCTCTTAACAAACTTTTTTTTTGTTTTAAAATTTTGGTTTTATCGTACTATTGTCTTATAGTCAGAACATGTAACCTGGAAACTTTCTCATTATTAGTATTTATGGAATTTAATTCAGAGCAAGAAACATGGTATGTTCATAAGTGTTTAGGATCAAGAGTTATTTATAAGTCAATCTTGCTAATTTTTGAAACATATTCTGCACATCTTTGATCTTTTTTTATGTACTAGAGGAGTTAAACTGGAAGTGAAATTGTTTTTAGCAATCATGACAGAATGTCTATCTTTTAAAAATCTTTTTTTGCATTTGCCCAGTGGAACTTGCTCAGCTTTTGACTGTTAACATTTTTAATGTTCCCTAATCTTTGTTGTATCTCTTGTAGTTAGATTCTATTTTGATCATTTATACTTTAAGATGGAAATTAATCTGTTTTAAATGATATATTTTCCTATGAATTTTTTTGGTCCTTCTTATAACTTATGTCTCTTTTGTTTTCTGCATTAGAGAAAACAACATGTTCATTTTTTCATTATTTTGTAAGCTTTGTAGTCTCATTTTGACTCTATTGGTTACTCTTGAGTTTTCTAGTTAATTCTCTCTATATCTCTAGTTGGTCTATAGTATCAAATGTGAAACAATATTATTTAAATTAATTTCACTGAATTTTTTACTAGTACTCACTCAATTAAATTTTTTTATATAACCTTAAGATTGAAATTCTTATAATTTTATTATTATATGCAGTACATAGCCTTTATTTCTAGAACAGTGCTTCTCAAATTCCTTTAGATTCTTTTTCTGTTTTTGCAATACTGGCTATGAACCTCAGCGTGCTCTATCTACTGCTTGCCCCAGTTTGTCAGTAAGAGTTGAGTAGATAATAGGAACAAATGACTCTCAGATCTCAGTGGGGTCTCACGGTGCCTCTGCTCCTGAGGACCCTCCTGCTAGACTCTGCTTCTGGCTAATGCATCACACCATCTCGAATGGCTGCCACCCTGGTAGAGGACCAGAGAGTGTCTAACCAGAGCCTGGCCTGAACTCTGCTGCCAGAGACATCATCCCTGGAGCAGGGCAGAGGGGTGAATCTTTCTTTTCCTGGGAGGAAAGTACATCGTGAAATGGGTGAGCCTCAGAAAAGGGCATGAATGGGATATTTTCTCACTGGTTTGCACAAACACATTTTCAGACATTTCAAAGAAAACAAGTTGGAGATTGCAGGTGGTCCTGGCACAGCTAAATATCAATTTTGTCTTCCTATATGAATAATGGATCAGGGTGTAACATTTTTTGTCATTTCCTTCTACATCTAGGTCTGTAGAATTTCATAACTGTTTTTGACATTTAAGGTTTCGAAATTACTTTTAATTTCTCCCTTTAGGGCATTCTCCCTTTGTTCAGGGAAACTCCCTCCCCAACCCATTTAAAGCCATTCTAGTTAACTTTTTAAAAAAATTCAACTATCATTTCAAATTTCCAGGCTCTCCGTCTTACTTTCTGGATATTTGTTTCTGCATGGCTTTGTGGGCACAAGGTCTTCTCTTGTCTGTGTGACAGTTCTGGTTTTTAGAATTCTGTTTTCTGCCACATCTCTGTTTCTGCTGGGGTAAGTTTGTCCTTTGCTCATCTTGGTTCTAGTCCTTCATGTGGGTTTCCACCAACACCAATGGTCTGTTGCTCATTCATACTTCAGGATGGGGGACCGAAAAGCTAACTCCAGCCGTCACCTCTCCAGGAGTCCACAGGACACCCTGACCCTTTTCTGACCAGAGAGAAGCATCTTCCACCCACATAGCAACTGGGGCTCTGCTGACACTTTTTCTCTTTCAGACTTTAATTTCTTGTCTAATTTCCCTCTTTGTCATTGTGATTTTAATTCTTTGACTGTCATGTTAGGGGACACTCTAGCAAAGAGGAGAAAAACAATTGTGTTCAATCAACCATCTTTAACCAGAAGTCTTCTTTTTTCGACAGAGAAATAGGATACTATTCTATCCTAGTGCACATTTGAAGTACCTTCTTATGGTGGAATTTAAAAAAAAAAAAGACCGTACAAGCCTTTATATCAATTAGAAATACAGGGAAGTCTGTTAAGAAATTGCATGTGGACTGGGGCTGTGTCTCAGTGGTAGAGCGCTTGCCTGGCATGTGTGAGGCACTGGGTTCGATCCTTAGCACCACATAAAAATAAATAAAATAAAGGTCCATCAACAACTAAAAGAAAAAAAGAAGAAAGAAAGAAATTTCATGTAAGGGGAACAAGTTACCAAGTGAGACTCAGAGTTACAGCCTTTCTGAGTTCAAAAATTACTTTTTTCTGGGCGTGGTCTTACTGTATGAAAACCAGCCGTCTTAGAGGTCTCCATTACATCACCTCCATAGGCAGGTGGGATACAGAATAATGTGTCTTCATTTTGAATATTTGTACAAGTCTCCAAATTGGACCAGAGAAGTATACTGATATTCTTGTGACTGTTCAAACTTCACCAGATAAGAATCTTTGAACCAGTTTGATGATGCAGAATCTTTCAGAAGTTAGAGATGGGAGAGGTGCAGGGTACAGTTCCTTTACATCTTTCTGATGTCTCTCTCTCTCTCTCTCTCTCTCTCTCTCTCTCTGTTGTTGATTAATAAGACTTGCCTTTCAGTGTTAGGTTCTGTGATACTTCATTTAAAAAAATTCCCTTGTCTGTAACTTTACACACACACACACTCACACACACACACACACACGCTGTATTAGAGTTCTATGCGCAACAGAAGCGATGTGTATATAGAGGAAGGGATTTATGGCAAGGAGCCGGCTCTCTCGATCATGAAGGTTGGCAAGTCCAGACTCTGTGGTGTGGGTAGCAGGCAGATGCAGTTTTGGTTTCTCTCACTTGGTCTTTTTGTTCTATTTAGGTCTTCGATTGGACAAGGCCCACCCACATCATGGAAGGCAAACAGTCTTACTCCTAGTTCACCAATTTAAATGCTCATCTTATTTAAAAACAGCCCCCGCCCACAAGTTGACATGAGAAATCAACCAGCACAGTATCACGTCAATACCAGAGAAGATCTTAACATTTATCAATTTGATGCTTTTCTAAAGAGCTCAGCTCAGTGTTGGTTAGAGCAGGGGGAGTCCTTTTGCCATGTGCAGGTCTTTCCCCAGATCCCCGTTTTCTTCCTTTGCACCCTGGATTGTTCCCTAAAATAAGTGCATTCGTGCTGGTCTTCCCGCATGACCCCTTATTCCACACATTGGCTCTCACCGACCTTCCTGCATGTCTGAAATCATCACCAGCCTCTTGGAAGCTCAGTATCTGTCGTATCTTTGTTTCGTAGGGTGGCCACAGAGCTCCCCAAGATGGAGTTCGAGAACAGAGAGGAGCAGGTTTTGCACGAACGCCTTTTCAGGCATTTCAAAGAAAACAAGGTGGAGATTGCGAGTGCAATAACCAAGCTGTTTCCTTTCCTCATGAGCCTCCAAGACCGCGCCTTCATCTCCGAGCGGATGTTTGACGTAAGTCAGGGGAATTTCCTCAGGACCGGAAACCAGCCCCACACTGCATGATGTCAGACTTCAGGGTGGCAATGGGGACCTGTGCCATCCTGTCAAGAGGCAGTGGGAGAAGCAGGCATCACAGAAAGTGTTGCTTTTTCTGCAGTAACTGTTAGTGGGGAGGTGATGGGAGAGGGCAGGCTGGGGAGCAGGAATGCTTCCTAGTGCAGAGCATCTTAGGTGCTTTATGCAAATACTAACGTAAACTAAAGGTAAATTAAGGGACCCCAGCACTGCTTCATTGCAGGCCCTCTTACTTTAAACCCTTGAGCATGAGATTTTTGCAACTCACAGGGCAAATTTAGAATAAATTTGGAAACAGACGCTTGCCGTTCTCTCTCCAAGTCATTTTCTGTTCTTTAGACATTTCTGGAGCTCTAGGTTAGGGTTAGCATTGGGTCTCCCCGGGGATACTGAGGACAAGCTGCCTCTTTGTCTTCAGAATTGTTCCTTGTCATTTGGCTAGGATCACAGTAGGAGAGGGTGATCCCTGGTTTCTAGGAGGCTTTCAGGCCAGTCCAGTCCTGGGGACAGAGCAGCGGTCATTGTCCAATCACCAGAACATCTTCTCATGGTCTATAGGACACCCCCCCACACAATCTGGCTCTTAGAGTCCCATACAACATTTGACTTTGGACACACTTTTATTCTTCAAAATGGCTTTCCTCTCAACCTCTCAGAGAGCCAGGTTCACAAAACCAAGAGACTATTTTTATGTAAGAAGTCTCCAAACATGCAAAATTCTTGCAATTCATGAGAGGAGGAACGGTCTAGGCACCCACCTAAGAGTCTTCTATAATCCACAAATCCATAGTGACATAATTCTCATTCAACGTTTTCCAGCATCTTCAAGAAGCTTGTAGAAACCTGTTCCCCGTGAACGCAGTGGTATATACCGTCCTCAGTGACCTGGAGAAGACCTTCAGCCTGTCGCTTCTGAATGAACTGTTCAGCAACACCAATCTGACGGCCTACCCAGACTTAGTGGAGATTTCCAGAAGCTTCCTAAATGGTAACAAAAGCTCTCAGTGGTGGTGTTTGGGGTTCAAGTCCAGTCACCCATCATTCACTCTTGCTGAGGAACCATGGCATGGACACAACGGTGAAGACACCAACCTGACCTGTGTCCTCATGGAGCTCACTCAGGCCCAGTAACCCTAGGACCTGACCTGGGGGCTGTGAAACAGAGGGTTTGAGTCTGCATTTGAATGAGGGAGGCATGAGCGATGCCCTTTCTTAGGAAGGAGGAAGCCCTCTCTGATGCTTATAGACACACAGTCCTATGCCACTTGCTTCTCCTGAGAGAGAAGTCACAAGGGACAGCTGGTGAAAGCTTCAGTGTGTGGCAGGGAGGGAACACTTTCAGAACCAGGAGACTGGATCATGGAGGGTGGGTTTGGAAGCCAATTTTGGAGGGCCTGATACACCCTGTGCTGAGGAATTTTAAATTTTGTTTTGTTTGGAAATTTAAAAAAGCAATAAAGGATTTTATTTTTAATTTAATTTTATTTTTTATTGTTGGTTGTTCAAAACATTACATAGTTCTTGATATATCATCTTTCACACTTTGCTTCAAGTGAGTTATGAACTCCCATTTTTAGCCCATATACAGATTGCAGAATCACATCAATTACACATCCATTGATTTACATATTGCCATACTAGTGTCTGTTGTGTTCTGCTGCCTTTCCTATCCTCTACTATCCCCCCTCCCCTCCCCTCCCCACCCTTCTTCTCTCTCTACCCCCCCTATTGACCTTCATTTCTCCCCCTTGTATTATTTTTCCCTTTCCCCTCATTCCCTCTTGTATGTTCTTTTGTATAACCCTGAGGGTCTCCTTCCATTTCCATGCAATTTCCCTTTTCTCTCCCTTTCCCTCCCACCTCTCATCTCTGTTTAATGTTAATCTTCTTCTCATGCTCTTCGTCCCTACTCTGTTCTTAGTTACTCTCCTTATATCAAATGAGACATTTGGCATTTGCTTTTTAGGGATTGGCTAGCTTCACTTAGCATAATCTGCTCTAGTGCCATCCATTTCCCTGCAAATTCTATGATTTTGTCATTTTTTAATGCAGAGTAATACTCCATTGTGTATAAATGCCACATTTTTTTAATCCATTCGTCTATTGAAGGGCATCTGGGTTGGTTCCAAAGTCTTGCTATTGTGAATTGAGCTGCTATGAACATCGATGTAGCAGTGTCCCTGTAGCATGCTCTTTTTAGGTCTTTAGGGAATAGACCAAGAAGGGGAATAGCTGGGTCAAATGGTGTCTCCATTCCCAGCTTTCCAAGAAAACTCCATACTGCTTTCCAAATTGGCTGCACCAATTTGCAGTCCCACCAGCAATGTACAAGTGTACCCTTTTCCCCACATCCTCGCCAGCACTTGTTGTTGTTTGACTTCATGATGGCTGCCAATCTTACTGGAGTGAGATGGTATCTTAGGGTGGTTTTGATTTGCATTTCTCTGACTGCTAGAGATGGTGAGCATTTTTTCATGTACTTGTTGATTGATTGTATGTCCTCCTCTGAGAAGTGTCTGTTCAGGTCCTTGGCCCATTTGTTGATTGGGTTGTTAGTTATCTTATTGTCTAATTTTTGGAGTTCTTTGTATACTCTGGATATTAGGGCTCTGTCTGAAGTGTGAGGAGTAAAGATTTGTTCCCAGGATGTAGGCTCTCTATTTACCTCTCTTATTGTTTCTTTAGCTGAGAAAAAACTTTTTAGTTTGAGTAAGTCCCATTTGTTGATTCTAGTTATTAACTTTTGTGCTATGGGTGTCCTATTGAGGAATTTGGAGCCCGACCCCACAGTATGTAGATCGTAGCCAACTTTTTCTTCTATCAGACGGCGTGTCTCTGATTTGATGTCAAGCTCCTTGATCCATTTTGAATTAACTTTTGTGCATGGCGAGAGAAAGGGATTCAGTTTCATTTTGTTGCATATGGATTTCCAGTTTTCCCAGCACCATTTGTTGAAGATGCTATCCTTCCTCCATTGCATGCTTTTAGCCCCTTTATCAAATATAAGATAGTTGTAGTTTTGTGGATTGGTTTCTGTATCCTCTATTCTGTACCATTGGTCCACCCGCCTGTTTTGGTACCAGTACCATGCTGTTTTTGTTACTATTGCTCTGTAGTATAGTTTGAAGTCTGGTATCGCTATACCGCCTGATTCACACTTCCTGCTTAGCATTGTTTTTGCTATTCTAGGTCTTTTATTTTTCCATATGAATTTCATGATTGCTTTCTCTATTTCTACAAGAAATGCCTTTGGGATTTTGATTGGCATTGCATTAAACCTATAGAGAACTTTTGGTAATATCGCCATTTTGATGATGTTAGTTCTGCCTATCCATGAACAGGGTATATTTTTCCATCTTCTAAGATCTTCTTCTATTTCTCTCTTTAGGGTTCTGTAGTTTTCATTGTATAAGTCTTTCACCTCTTTTGTTAGGTTGATTCCCAAGTATTTTATTTTTTTTGAAGATATTGTGAATGGAGTGGTTGTCCTCATTTCCATTTCAGAGGATTTGTCGCTGATATACAGGAATGCCTTTGATTTATGCGTGTTGATTTTATATCCTGCCACTTTGCTGAATTCATTTATTAGCTCTAATAGTTTCTTTGTAGAGCCTTTTGGGTCTGCTAGGTATAGAATCATATCATCTGCAAATAGTGATAATTTAAGTTCTTCTTTTCCTATTTTTATGCCTTTAATTTCTTTCGTCTGTCTAATTGCTCTGGCCAGTGTTTCGAGAACTATGTTGAACAGAAGTGGTGAGAGAGGGCATCCCTGTCTTGTTCCAGATTTTAGAGGGAATGCCTTCAATTTTTCTCCATTCAGAATGATGCTAGCCTGAGGCTTAGCATAGATTGCTTTTACAATATTGAGGTATGTTCCTGTTATCCCTAGTTTTTCTAGAGTTTTGAACATAAAGGGATGCTGTACTTTGTCGAATGCTTTTTCCGCATCTATCGAGATGATCATATGGTTCTTATTTTTAAGTCTATTGATGTGGTGAATAACATTTATTGATTTCCGTATATTGAACCAGCCTTGCATCCCAGGGATGAATCCTACTTGATCATGGTGCACAATTTTTTTGATATGTTTTTGTATCCGATTCGCCAGAATTTTATTGAGGATTTTTGCATCTAGGTTCATTAGAGATATTGGTCTGAAGTTTTCTTTCTTTGAAGTGTCTTTGTCTGGTTTAGGTATCAGGGTGATGTTGGCCTCGTAGAATGAATTTGGAAGTTCTCCCTCTTTTTCTATTTCCTGAAGTAGCTTGAAAAGTATTGGTATTAGTTCCTCTTTAAAGGTTTTGTAAAATTCTGCTGTATACCCATCCGGTCCTGGGCTTTTCTTAGTTGGTAGTCTTTTGATGGTTTCTTCTATTTCCTCAATTGATATTGGTCTGTTTAGGTTGTCTATATCCTCCTGACTCAATCTGGGCAGATCATATGACTTCAGAAATTTATCGATGCCTTCACTATCTTCTAATTTATTGGAGTATAAGGATTCAAAATAATTTTTGATTATCTTCTGTATTTCTGAAGTGTCTGTTGTGATATTGCCTTTTTCATCCCGTATGCTAGTAATTTGAGTTCTCTCTCCTCTTCGCTAGCATCGCTAAGGGTCTGTCGATTTTGTTTATTTTTTCAAAGAACCAACTTTTAGTTTTGTCAATTTTTTCAATTGTTTCTTTTGTTTCGATTTCATTAATTTCAGCTCTGATTTTAATTATTTCTTGCCTTCTACTTCTTTTGCTGTTGTTTTGCTCTTCTTTTTCTAGGATTTTGAGATGAAGCATGAGATCATTTATTTGTTGGTTTTTTCTTTTTTTAAGGAATGAACTCCAAGCAATGAATTTTCCTCTTAGAACTGCTTTCAATGTGTCCCACAGATTCCGATATGTTGTGTCTGTGTTTTCATTAATCTCTAAGAATTTTTTAATTTCCTCCTTGATGTCTTCTATAACCCATTGATCATTCAGTAACCTATTGTTCATTCTCCAAGTGATGTATGCTTTTTCCTTCCTTCTTTTATCGTTGATTTTCAGTTTCATTCCATTATGGTCAGATAGGATGCATGGTATTATCTCTACTCCTTTATATTGTCTAAGCGTTGCCCTGTGACATAATATATGATCTATTTTTGAGAAGGATCCATGTGCTGCTGAGAAAAAAGTGTAACTGCTTGATGTTGGGTGGTATATTCTATATATGTCAATTAAGTCTAGGTTATTAATTGTGTTATTGAGTTCTATAGTTTCCTTATTCAACTTTTGTTTGGAAGATCTGTCCAGTGGCGAGAGAGGTGTGTTGAAGTCTCCCATGATTATTGTATGGTGGTCTATTAGACTCTTGAACTTGAGAAGAGTTTGTTTGATGAACATAGCTGCGCCATTGTTTGGGGCATATATATTTATGATTGTTATGTCTTGTTGGTGTATGGTTCCCTTAAGCAGTATGTAGTGTCCCTCTTTATCTCTTTTGATTAACTTTGGCTTGAAATCTATTTTATTTGATATGAGTATGGACACTCCTGCTTTTTTCCGAAGTCCATATGAGTGATATGATTTTTCCCAACCTTTCACCTTCAGCCTATGTATGTCTTTTCCTATCAAATGCGTCTCCTGTAGGCAGCATATTGTTGGGTCTTGTTTTGAGATCCATTCTACTAGCCTGTGTCTCTTAATTGGTGAGTTTAAGCCATTAACATTTAGGGTTATTATTGAGATATGGGTTGTTGTTCCAGCCATATTTGTTTATTTATGTTACTAAACATGGTTTGTTTTCCTCTTTGATTATTCCCCCCCCTTTACTGTCCTACCTCCCACTGTTGGTTTTCATTGTTATTTTCCATTTCCTCTTCCTGTAATGTTTTGCTGAGGATGTTTTGAAGAGATGGTTTTCTAGCTGCATATTCTTTTAACTTTTGTTTGTCGTGGAAGGTTTTAATTTCATCTTCCATCCTGAAGCTTAATTTCGCTGGATACACAATTCTTGGTTGGAACCCATTTTCTTTCAGTGTTTGAAATATGTTATTCCAGGATCTTCTAGCTTTCAGAGTCTGTGTTGAAAGATCAGCTGTTATCCTGATTGGCTTGCCCCTAAATGTAATCTGCTTCCTTTCTCTTGTAGCTTTTAAAATTCTCTCCTTATTCTGTATGTTGGGCATCTTCATTATAATGTGTCTAGGTGTGGATCTCTTATAATTTTGCACATTCGGCGTCCTGTAGGCTTCTAGAATTTGGGATTCTGTCTCATTCTTCAAGTCTGGGAAGTTTTCTCGTATTATTTCATTAAATAAATTGCTCATTCCTTTGGTATGGAGTTCTATACCTTCCTGTATCCCAATGACTCTTAAGTTTGGTCTCTTAATGTTATCCCATATTTCTTGGATGTTCTGCTCATGGTTTCTTAACAGTCTTGCTGAGCTGTCTATGTTCTTTTCAAGTTGAAATACTTTGTCTTCATTGTCTGATGTTCTATCTTCTAAGTGTTCTACTCTGCTGGTAGTACTCTCAATTGAGTTTTTAAGTTGGTTTATTGCTTCCTGCATTTCTAGGATTTCTGTTTGTTTGTTTTTTATAACCTCTATCTCCCTGTATAGTTGATCCTTTGCTTCCTGGATTTGTTTGTGTAATTCCTTGTCGAAGTGATCTTTCATTGTCTGATTTTGCTGTCTAATTTCTTCCTTGATACTCCAGATCATCTGAAGCATATATATCCTGAATTCTTTATCTGACATTCCATCTGCTGCAGCTGTTACCTCTTCTAAAGTTGAGCTGACCTGCATTGCTTGTAGTCCTTTCTTTCCTTGTCTTTTCATACTGCTTGCGTTTCTTTCTTCTTGGTGAAACTGTTGTGTTTTTGAAATTTCCCCCCCCCCCTCTATATTTATGTTGCTCTTGTATAGTTGAAAATTCTCCCTTGCAGGTGCGGGCAGGGGCTCTGCTCTGCCCCTCCTCCAATTGGTGTGAGGTGTCTACCACGCCCGCGGACCCCTGGGCCTGATCCGCTGTTCTGTCGCAGGTCTGCCTACCTTGCAGGTGGGGGCGAAGGCTCTGCCCTGCCCCTCCTACCACGCCCGGGGACCGCTAGGCCTGATCTGCAGGTTGGTCGCAGGTCTGCCCACCTTGTGGGCAAGGGTGTCAGTTCCGCTCCGCCCCCACTCCAATTGGGGTCACTTGACCACCACACAGGCGAGCCGCTGGGCCTGATCTGGGCGCGGGCTAAGGCTCTGCTCTGCCCCTACTCCAGTTGGGGTGAAGTGTGTACCACGCTGGCAGGCCGCTGGGCCTGATCCACAGGTCTGTCGCGGGTCTGCTTACCTTGCCAGCGCGGGCGGTGGCTCTGCCCTGCCCCTCTTACCACGCCTGCAGACCGCTGGGCCTGATCTGCAGGTTGGTCGCAGGTCTTCCTACCTTGCGGGCGTGGGCGGCGGCCCCGCTCCTCCCCTCTGGCTCGACGACAAAGCGAGAGAGACTCGGGTATCTGTGACTCACCCTCCCTACCAGGGGACCAACTGTTTCCGTCGCCGCTGGCACCGATGAAGTTTTCTCCTCGGCTGCTCTCCGATGACATCAGATCTCTGCCATGCTGGCATCCCCTGTTCTATGGCTGAATCCCATTTTCTTCTCTTCCAATAGGCGGAGCTGTGCCCTCTGAGCTGAGCTTCTGCCCTCTATGTGCTGACAGAAATCCCTGTACGGTGGCTCCTGGGAGTCTCTCAATCCTGTTAGTCCAGAGCCCTTTCACTTATCCGGCCCCTCCCCCTGTTCCTCCTCCCAGCCAGCCAGCCAGGTCCTGTTCACCAGAGGCGGTTCCCCAAGGATCTGATTACACTTGCAGCCCCACCGCGTGTCCTATATCCCGAACGATGAACACCCTCTCTGTCATTCAATTAAGCCCCAGTGCTGTGGTGGGGTGATCTGGGAACCAACAGTTAAATTTTTCAGGACCCCTTTGGTGGGCACGCCCCCAGAAACTGGCGGCTAAGATCTTGGGTGTCGCCGCTGGTGTTAAGGGGAGGTGGGGATCTGGAGTCCCCTCTGCTTCCCTACAGACACGCCCCCAGTGGTTTCCTGGCTGCTTGTATCTGGAGGGGGTGGGAGTCACACACCTGCTAATGTGGATTCCGCTGGGAAGGAATTCTGTCGGCGGAACTCTGGTGATGTCACCACTCTGCTATGGCAGGCCCCAGGCTCCTTGCCGGAGTGTCCGAAGGGAGGGGTGGGACTGGTCTGTCTCTGGTTGGTTTCAGCTCCCGGTTTGCTATTTCATGAAGGCTTGGCGAGAGACCTCTTCCTAGAGTCCCTGCACCGCTCCTGCTGCGCTGCGCTGCGCCTCGGAGGCTATCCGCCCTGACGCGGGCCGCGTGCAGGCAGCCGACAGTCGCCGAGTCGCGCGGGCAGCGGCTGGCGGGTCTGGACCTCTGCGCTGCATGGCGGAGATTCACTCATCTAGCGCAGACTGTCACCTCCAAAAATCCTTCCAATTCCCGGCCGGTCTCTCTTTAGTGGAATTTTGCTAGGAGTTTCTCAGCAGGTCATATCTAAGCGTATCCATGCGTCTCTCTGACCCCTTTGTTGAGGAGGTACTGAAAGCGCTGCCTCCCCTCTCGCCGCCATGTTGGATCCTCCTTTTAAAAATTTCCAATAAAGGATTTTTAAGTAGGAAAAAAATTAGAAGTCAGTATGAAGAGTGGAATGTGTTGGTTTGTGGAAACTATACCTTGATTTAAAATAAGAGCTACCTCATTTCCATACAATGATATATCCAAGTCTAAGAAAGGGATAAAGGATATTGAATATCTAGGTACTAATTTTAAGTCGATATTCTATTTGTACCCAGGATCCTTCCAGTTCAAAGTTGCAGAGAGAACTGTGCATATCTCTGTGGGCTCTGATCTTCTCTGTGTTCGCTTTCCTGTCACTGTGACAAAATACCTGAGATAAACAACTTAAATAGAAAAAAAGATTATTATTATTATTTGGCTCAAGTTTTTAGTCCATGGTTGCTTAGCACTGTGCCTTTGGCCTTTGGTAGGGCAGAACATTATGGTGGGGAGTTTATTAGCGAGCAAAGAGCTGCTTACCACAGGGTGGCTGGGAAGGAGAAAGAGAGATAGAGATAGAGAAAGAGAGAGAGAGAGAGAGAAGGGCCATGGCCACGCCCCCACTGACCTAACTTCCTTCCACTAGGCCCCACCTCCTAAAGGTTCTACCACCTTCCAGTAGCACCACAGCTGGTGATCAAGTCTTCCACACACAGCAGCCTTGGGGGACACTTAAGATTCAAACCATCACACTCTCCATGTGGGAAGGAGAAAGAGAGAGAGAGAGAGAGAGAGAGAGAGAGAGAGAGAGAGAGAGAAGGGCCATGGCCACGCCCCCACTGACCTAACTTCCTTCCACTAGGCCCCACCTCCTAAAGGTTCTACCACCTTCCAATAGCACCACAGCTGGTGATCAAGTCTTCCACACACAGCAGCCTTGGGGGACACTTAAGATTCAAACCATCACATTCTCCATGGACTACAGGGAGCCCCCTCCCTGGCCCCTGTGCCCAGGTCTCTCGGGTTACAGGTCAGGGTTGTCAAGCTCCGCATCCCTGATGACTCACTGTGACGGAGGCTGTGTAGGCTGGTGAGGGCTGGGGTGGTTGGGATCCCTGAGCAGAGGTTGCAGGGAGATCCAGGGCTCTGCAGGTGTCCAGGGAGTGGGTCAGGGCCTGGCACAGAGAGCCTCTCATTCAAAAGAGGATTCAGTCCCAAGATGGGGAAAGCAGAGACAATAGGGTGGAGCCTGCCATGTGGGATGCCAGAGCTCGGAAAGAAGAGGACCCAGAGGAAAAGCCGAGACACAGTAGGATAAAGAGGACCAGGGAGCAGGGCGGGGCAAGGACCCAGGGTGGGGTTCCTCATGGTGTGGAAGCCATCGCATGTGGCAGGAAATGAGGAGGAGGAAGGCCCAGGGACGAGAGCAAGGGAAACGGGGAGAGGGAGGCTTTGGGGGACCTTGGGTGGGGTCCTTGGAATCGCTGTCCCTTTCCCAAAAGCTCACCTGTGCACTGAACGCCAGAATCTGCACAAAGGCCCGGGCTCTTCCCTCCTCACTGGGTCTGGTTAGTTATTTCCATGTTTTTCTTCAGTTTTCCGTGAGTGCCAGGCTCTCTGGAGTTGGAGTGGAGGCGAGGCTGAAACCACAGACAGACAGCATCCAGGTGCCGGGGCAGGTAATTATGATATGATTTAAATCACCGACTAACTCACCGATGTGTTTGTCTATCTGTATGAAAGGGACATCTCCATCCTCCCCCCCACCTCTCCCTCACACAAACCCACACCTGTGTTCACCTGTGGCTTTGTTCCCAGGTGTGTGGGAGGCAAGCTGGGGAAGGGGCTTCTGAGTGGAGAACCCAAGGACAGAGAGTAATAGAAATGTAGACTAAGGGCACCAAATGGAGTTTCCCCAGTAGCCCCCCCTTTTTGTAAAAATATATTTTTTAGTTGTAAACGTATCTTTCATTTTATTTATTTGTTTGTTTATATGTGGTGCTGATTGAACCCAGGGCCTCACGCATGCCAGGCAAGTGCTTTACCACTGAGCCACAACCCCAGCCCCCCCCCCAGTAGCCCCTTTTTAATCTAAACAAATAGAGAATATAAATGCAGTCAGGTGTCATTAATGATGGGATATATTGTGAGAAATGTGATTTTAGGTGATTTCTTTCTTGTATGATCATCAGAAAGTGTACTTACAGCAGAGGACAGCTGCAGTGTCACTAGGCAGCATCACATTATGGAATCATTATCACACATGAGGTCCGTCCTTGACTGAAATGTCAGGATGTGTTGAGTGATGACTAGCAGGAGGCAGATGGAGAAGAAAGGAATCATTTTAAACTTACTTGGTAGGGAGTGTTAGGAATAATGACATACAGAATATAGGGGGACAAGATGGAAGGGAGCTCAAAGAATAAATAGGGAGATAATTGTGCCAAGAGGTAAGACTATCACGGAGGAAGAGAGAGAGAAATGCAGAAAGATGGTACAAGTCAGAAAGAGGAAGTTGAGTCAAAGAGATCACAAATAGCTTCATGGTACAGATGCAGTGGTGTGTGAAAACAGGGTTAGAATCAGAAAAAGGAGAGGTAGAGAGGAGGAGAAGGGGCCAGGGGGCCTAGAAAGTGCTAAAGGAAGTGAAATAGACTGGGTTAGTGCCACACACCTTCCTCCCCAGCAGCACTGCACTGTGAACATCAGAGGCTAGCATGACCACATCCAGGCAGGTGTCCAGGTCACCATCAACTACCAGTCACGTTCCTGTTTCTCTCTTCAGTGCCCCAGAAATCTTCTCTACAAATGGATGAAGGAAGAGAATCAGAAGACATGCCCAGGTTATTACCTTATGATAGAGAAGGTAATAAGAATTTAAATTACCTGTTAACTAAAGTTTTATTTTTCTGTCAACATACATATCTATTCTTTCATTTTCTTTTCTATGCTTCCATCCACCTATCCATTCATCCATCTGCCCATCCATCCATCCATCCATCCACCAATCCATCCATCATTCACCCATCCATCCACCAATCCATCCATCCACTAATCCATCCATCCATTCATCCATCCATCCACCAATCCATCCATCCACTAATCCATCCATCCATCCATCCATCCATCCACCAATCCATCCATCCATTCATCCATCCATCCATCAATCCATCCATCCATCTATCCATCCATTCATCCATTCACCATCCATCCATCTATCAATTCATCCATTCACTATCCTTACACCCCCTGTGTACAGACAGACAAACCAGGCCCAGATTTTGGCTGCTTTTGTAAGAAGATACAAACACATAAGAAGGAGGAGTTCAGACTTGGTGAGATTTTCTTGTGTATAGAACATAAAGAAAGGGAGAATGGAAAATGCAGATAGAACCATTAAAAAAATTCCCAAGTGATTGCCAATTTTACCTAAGCAGTCATGCAACTCATCTGTCACCATGTTGGAGTGCATGTTGTCAAGGAAGGAGATAATTTCCACTCTACTTTCTGTGGTTGTGCCGGGAACTTAGACATAATGAGTATAACTGCAATATAAAAAATTCTTGTGAAAGACTTTTGAAATGGACCTGGTAAGGGGAAGGGTCCCTGCTCCAGTGTCAATGGCAAAGATGAGGCCTTTGATGACATGGGAGAAAGATAAGACAGAAAGACTGAATTTGAATGTTTATATTTAAGTTTCATTTCCCCAGGAGATAAGCTCACTCATCCAACAAGGTGCAGCGTTTCCAAGGTGGAGAAAGTCATATTAAGGGAGAACCAGAGGGGGAGACTGCTAAGACAGGGCCTGAGGGGGAGGGCACCCTGCTGTATATGGTAATGGAGAATGAATGAATGAAAAGTCAGCAGAAAGGAAAAATTGTCTGCACACCAGAAAAGACAGTTTGAGACATCTGGGGCTTGAAAGTCACTGGACAGAACCAACTTCTGGCACGAGGATGATCACTTTAGCAGAGTTTTCAGCTATTAATGTGACACAATACATTCAGAGGCAATTGGCCTTCCCCAGGCATTCTTATCTACTCCCACCTATAAACGAATGATCCCAAGACACATCTCCAGGCTTGTCTTCTAGCCTCCTTCATTTGTGAGCCTGAATTCATTCATGCAGATAATCTTAGAGTCGTCTACATTTAGATGCTTTTCAGGAGCCTCAGTATGAGACATAACTAAAATCGCACCTGCAACCCTTCCTGACACCGGACCTGCCTCGTGTCTGGGAGTTCACTGTTAGAACTGGTCCCTCTCCCTCAACTTAGACCATCCAGATTGGTTGATTCTACCTTTCACATACCTCCCACCAGTCATTGCTTTCCATCACCAACACAGAAACCTTAGTCAACATTTCCCCCTTCTCTCTGAGATTATAGAAACGACTTCCAGGCTCAGATTTCCCCTCCCGTCTTGCCCCATCACATGCATTTTGTGGAACCCAATGAGAGGACTCTAAGAAAAATGTGAGTTGGCATAACTTTGCTTTCCTGCTTGAGGTCAATGACTTCTTGCTGTCATAAAGTCTAAATCCATTTTCCTCCCCAAATCTCCAGCTTCATGTCTGCCTCTCCTGCTCTTACTTCAGGGTAATGGAACTTCTTGAGTGATTTTAATTTTCCGATTCCCTCTTCCCCTCTGAGCCACTGCACATGCTTAGCCTTGCACCTGGACGCGTCTTCTTGGCCCCTCCCACTTTCCATCCTGCTCCCAAATCTGGTGAAAGCCTGTGAGGTGGCATGACGATCTCCGAGATGTCTTTTCTCATCCCTGGTTCTAGAGAGCAATAGGATGAGAGATGGGGAAAGAGCACAAAGCCCAGCATCAGGGAAGAAAGGAACTGGGAATGAACACGGGAAAGAAACGAAGCCAGAGAAGAGCGGTCCCAGTGGACCTCATCAGCCAGGCCAGAGGAGGAAGGAGAAGAGGCAGAGACAAATGGAAGGGGTGAAAACGAGAATGAGAAAAAGGGGTGGAGAGAAGCTGGGTGGGATTTCTGACCATCCCCATCAGAGAGCTGAATCATGCAAGACCCCCCTTTCCCCTCACAAAAGCTTCAGACGTAGGCATGCACACCATTGAAGCCTCTCTCCTACAGATGGAAAAATAAGGCCCAGACATGTATGCAGGTTATTTTTGTAAGGGTGGGGTAGAAGAAGAAGAGCAGGCACAGCATCCTGGGATGTTACTGGGTGTCAGGGGCCGGTCATGCAGTCAGAATAGAAAGAGGAAGCTCCGGTTCCAGAATGGACCAGGCCCTGTGTAAGACTGTACAGTTAAATAAGTTGCCGTTAAATAGGAACAAGAAGCTCTGGTGTGACAGTGCCCGGTGTGGTGACCGTCATTACAATGTACAGTGCAGTTCAAAAAGCTAGAAGAAAGTTGTTTGAAAGGTTTCACCATAAAGAAATGATAAAGGTCTGGGGGAGATATGTTTAACTTGGTTGAAACATGATGCAGTGTATACCTGCCTTGAACACTGCCTGCTACCCCATTGCAAGTAAAAATTTTATGTATGTATGTATCAATCAGAATAAATAAATAGGGGTGGGGTTGTGGCTCAGCGGTAGAGCACTTTCCTAGCACGTGGGAGTCACTGGGTTCGATTCTCAGCACCACATAAAAATAAGTAAATAAAAATGAAGGTTCATCCACAACTTAAAAATATACATATTTTAAAAAAAGACTTTGAAGAAAAAGTGAAATAATGTTGGTGGGAGGGGGAGAAAATTCTAAGTGCAGAGAGCATAGGACTGGAGCCACCCACTAGGAGAGCTGAGGTCCAGCACCAGACAGCTGACCAGACAACAAACAGGAAAGGGATACAGTGTCCCCAAAAGAAAATATAAAGAAACAAGAGATGGGAGGAGCCGGGGGAAGAGCAGTCCCACAGTTAAAGAGAACCACAGCTGGGAAGGAGAGAGGCTGAGTGGGTAGAACCACGCAGCCAGAGGGAGAGGGGAGGAGAGTCGTTGAGACGGGAAAGAGGTGGAGGCCGACGGAGGCCCTTAGCCTGTGGGACAGACACGTGGTGCCCCTCACAGGTGGTCCCAGCACACTGGGGTGTTTTCAGACCACGTCCCCCCAGGTTCATCATTTCCTTGTTCTTTACAGAGCCCTGGGATCCCCAAACTCCCCAGGAGACTCTCAGAGGAGGAGGAGGAGAACCACAGGAGGCTTTTCCTCCGCAAGCAGGTGAGAAACAGGGCCCTGAGGACATGGGTTCCCAGGGACCTCAATAGATCTCTCCTTTCTAATCAGTGTGGAAAACATCTCCGCCCCCCTTCCTGCCTGTCTCTCTTCATTTTTGCAAAGGTGAGGTGGAATTTTATCCATCTTCTTTTGTTTCAAAACTTCGAGAGATAAGGGATAAAGGCCTGGGACGTCCCAAGGGGAGACGGTGCCCCTGTGCTGAGAACTTAGGGCAATGAGAGTGTCAAAGTAAAGCTGAGCACCAAGGAACAAGTGCCAGGGTGATAGAATGAAGTGCACCCCAAACCCCAATATCAGCAGGTCTTGACGGGTGAGGTGGGGACATGGCTTCAGCTCCTTCTGGAAACACACGGCACATGGACCTGTGTTTTGGCAGTGGTAGAAGTCTTGCAATTTAAGAAACTCGTGTTGGGGAGCATTTAATGAGGGCAGGGTCCCTGGTGTTTTGGATCTCGTGAAAACGAAAGGGCTTTTGTCAAGTTGGGAGAAGAGAGGGTCAAGAATGAGGCAAATATAGAAAATCATAGAGATAATCCCGGCATCCAGGAGGTCACAGTAACAGAAACAGAGGTAGAAAAGGAGAAAGTGGGAGACCAAGAGGGAGGCCCACCCAGGAGAGGATGGAGCTTCCCACAACTTTGCTGAGCTTTTCTCCAAAATTCCTCTGAAGCACAGACCAGGAGGATCTCATGGGGGTTCCTCCCACCCAGGAGATGCTAGAGCTTCCGAAACTCTTGCTGAGTCTTTCTCCATAATTCCCCTTTGGGGGTACCTTGACACCTCTGAAGGACATCATTTCTTTCTGCAGAGGGAGGCAACGCCTGTGTGGATATGCATGGGGAAGAAGAACCACAGGAAGCCCCCTGCTCCTCCCCAGGACATGCACCAGGTAAGGAGGAAGCTGATCCAGCCCTGGGTTGCAGGGTGGGGATGGCCAACACAGGCGTTTGCTGTTGGCTTCACGCTGAGCACTCTCCAGTTAGTCCTCAGATGGAAGTCTTTGCATTCACCCAGGACTTTATGTTTTTAAGAAATAAGATCTAGAGGCCCAAATTAGGGAAAATTTTTTAGAGAGATGAATGAAAGCAAATCATAACCACGTGGCAAGGAAGCATTGAGCAAACCGTGGAGAGCAGGTCAATCAAAACACACATTTTGGGGGCTGGGGTTGTGGCTCAGTGGTAGAGCACTCGCCTAGCATGACCAAGGCACTGGGTTCCATCCTCAGCACCATGTTAATGTAAAAGAAAGATATTGTGTCCACCTAAAACTTAAAAATAAATGAAGATTTTAAAAAGTACACATTTTGAAGAGTAAAAACTGCATCCAAGGGAGGGAAGAAAGAAGTGGCAGGCTGAGCACTGAAGTAAGAGTCACAGTGACTTGCGGAAGAAGGTCCTCTCCAGAGGGAGGTCTAAGAAGAAGGCCTTCACAGGAGGAGTGGCCTAGGGACACAATGAGAGTAATGGTCCTCTCTCCAGCAACGTCACCTGCTCTCCGATGACAGAAGATTCCCAGGTGCACGTCTGTGGGGCAGGCCTGTCTTGCCAGCTCATCCTTCCAGAGTTCTCCACTGGATGTCTTTCAGGAACTGAACCCTTCCCATTGGAACCAACACCTTGTTTCTGACACTAGAATTCCTGCTTCTCCAGGCCTGATTCTCTTGGTAAAGGACGAGTGCCCTGTTTCCTCTTGCACTCCTCCATCTTGCCCATCCAAGTGAGATGGGAAAGACAGGAAAAACCAGGGAGCAAACACAGACAGGGACAAAGGAGGAGACAGTAGCACATCCACAGTCAGGCCTCTGGAGACCTGGGGGTCAGAGACAAGAGCAGAGACAGCAATGTGCTGTGGAATGGGGGAGAGAAGGATTTGCTCGGGAGAGGAAATGAATGGGAAGCTGGTTCTCGGCCTTGATGAGGATGCCTGGGGTGTGTCCACATACGGGCCAGGTGATCCTGAAGCACTCACTGGGAGGTTTTCAGATGGGGATTCGTCCCACCCAGGAGACGCTGGAGCTCCGAAACCTTTGCTGAGTTTTTCTCCACAATTCCCCTTTTGGGTACCTTGGCACGTCTGAAGGATGTCATTTCTTTTCTGCAGAGGGAAGCAATGCCTGTGTGGATATATGTGGGGAAGAGGAACCACAGGAAGCCCCCTGCTCCTCCCCAGGACATGCACCAGGTAAGGAGGAAGCTGATCCAGCCCTGGCGTTTGCTGTTGGCTTCACACTGAGCACTCTCCAGCTAGTCCTCAGATGCAAGTCTTTGCATTTATCCTGGAGTTTTTTGGGAAGCACAAGGAAAAATTCTTGTGAATTCTGTTTGGAACAATATGGCCTTCATTGTTCGAATATGCGTTTTCCCTGCTCATGTTGAAGTAATAAGTTCCAAGGAATGACTCTCTTTCTCTTTTATTGTTACATTATAGTTGTGTATGTTGATGGGGTTTGCTCTTCCATATTCGTACATGCACACGATTTAACAACCTAATTTGGCCAGTATCACTCCCCAGCTTCCCCTCCCCCAGCCCACCGTGGTTCCTGTCTTTAACTGATCTCCCTTTGATTTTTTGGAATTCGAGTCCCATTTTTATTTTCCTTTTTCCTCTCCAGCTTCTTCATATGAGGGAAAGCATATGACCCTTAACGAGTTAGACCTTTCCCCTTCACTCTTCCCGCCTATTTATGCTAAAAATTCAATATATGATTCTGATCTCTGCACGTCCAACATTTTCTCTGAACTCTCTGGCTCCACCTGAGCATACTAAGATATGTTTCAGGGTCCCTCTGCGTGGTCTGTTGTGACCTTGTATCTCTTCAGTTTCCTGGGAACTGGATACTACCCAGATGGCCCCCACAGACAATCTAGAGGAGGTGGTCAGCCAGCCACTGTGGATTGGAGAAGGCATTTGTGCTGTCTGCTCCCAAGCAACTGCGGAATCTTTGTTTCTCCCCGTCTTCTCCCATTCCGCCCTGCTGCTTGTAGTTACCAGGCAGAGGAGCCAAAGTAAGGGGTCAGAAATAAGAGAGAATGTGCTGTTCAGGGAGGGAGCAAGGTGGGAAGACTGTCCCCTGCCTCTGGTAAGAGTGACAGGAGCTGCCTTAGCCCCCACGTCGGGAGGATTCAAAGGCAGGGGGGTCTGAAGCCAGGGACATCCCCCAGGAGTCACTTGCACTGCCTGGGGCTTCCTGGCCTTCCCGTGTGGGCTTTCCTGTCATGGAATCCTGGGGTTGAACATGGAGTCCTCGAAGGGTTTCATTCTCTTCTGCAGAAGGTAACAGTTGCTGTTTCCAAATGTCTGATGAAGAAGAGGCCCAGGAAGGCTTGGGCTCACCCCCAGCGGGTGAGCCAGGTAAGGCAGGGGAGGGGTGGCGATGGCTTCTGGGTGTTGGGGGGCTAGTGTTTCCTGGTGGGTTTACTCTGAATGTGCTTCATAATGAAATGATCCAGTTACTCTTCACATTTTCCCTTGGCCTTTTGGGGAAATTCAGGGAGACAAGAAATCTCGAGAAACTCTGGGATTAAGGAGTCTTTTTGTTTGTTATTAGGTATTGGTATATGCACTTAAAGTCGAAAAATACTAGGATAAGAGAATGCTCTTTTGCCTTCCTCTTTTCACCACTGTTAGTATTATTATTTGAATTCTTATAACAATTTTTGTTCCCATTCACTCCTTATCTTTTATGGAAATAAAAAAAAAAGCTTAGCATTTCTCTGCTGGTTGATAATTTCTTTACAGTTTTGTCACAAACTTGACAAAGCCTTCAAAGAAACACTAATGTAGTATCTAATTGATAGAATTCAGATGAGCTATTTATAAAACCAGATTCTGGTTTGGACCAGTGTTCTCCCTGTGCCATTGGATTACACAGTGTTTTTTCAGTGTGCTTCAATAATTACGCTCTTCTTCCATCCTCAAAAACTTTAAGACACAGGCAGGGAGATGTTGCTACTGTTTTGAGGAACTAGAAATAAGATATATATAAGATGCAAGGAAGAGAAGTCCCAAGAGAGAAAAGCAGAGTGGAGATCCACATGGGCTTCAGGTTCTGAGAAGCTGGCATGAGGTTGGGCCATGTTCAACGTCCAAAGCAGAAGTCCAAGGGGCCTTCGGGTACCCAGAAATCCACTAGGATTCAATGGACAGAGATTTTATTTAGCAAATAAAGAATGCTTAGGGAGAGAAGAGGGGGGAAATCACAGAAAATATGTGAATGTAATCTACCATATGAGATAGGAGATACCCAGAAGAGTAGAGCCTGAAGAAGTGAACACAGAGGCAATGTGAAAAAGTAGACACAGAGAATCACCGAAGGAGAAAAAGGCAGATTATCATGGAGACTGGAAATGTCAGGGAGAAGATCCAGGAAGTCAAGGAGAAGCACAGAGGCCCTTTATGAGGTGTAGCAATGAAAATGTGTACAGTATTAAAAGAAGAGGGTACCACTTCATATTCAACCAAAGGCTGAATTCATTGTTTTTTAACCGAGGAAGAGTTGTCCTTATGAGTCCAGTTTTTCTAAATAGCACTCCTATTGAGAAATGTTTGGGGAGAGTGTGGAGCTCAGGGATTGGAGGACCTTTGGAAGTGGCCTTGCATGGGGACCAGCTGACCCTTAGTGAGAGCAAGCTAAGGGGAGCATGGCCCCTACATCTCTGCTGACTGTCAGAATCTTGGGGATGTGATGATGGGCTGGCTTTCAGAGGCCTGTGTCCTGGACGGAAGCTATCATTGACTAATTGGGATGATTCTAGCTTTATTTGTTCATGTGGCCAAAGAATAATGAGTTTTCCTAGGAGTGTAGGAACTTTGAAATCTGTTTCCCCATGAGGAAGTCCCTACTAAGAAGATGCAAGAAAGGCCATGAAGGTATTGTTCATAGCCAAATGTTTTCTGTAAGAGGACACTGGATTAAAACTCCTAGGCTTCTCCCCCACTGAGTGACAGGGCTGCTGGACTGAGTGTTAAGCCTATGGAAGAAGACAGAAAAAAGAGAAGTAGTGATATTTAGTAATTAGTTGATCAAATGACTAGTTCCTTGTGGTTGTAGGGCTGAGGTCACAGCTTTGCTGCTGGTTCTTGGCCAGGGCTTACTCAACCCACAGAGGCCACTCACATCCCCTGACACATGGCCCCTGCATCTCCAAGGGAGCAACAGTGTGTGGAGTCCTGTGCACGCTCTGAACTTCTGAGTGCCTCTTCTGCTGCCAGCGGGAAAACATTCAGTACTTTTAAAGGGCTCATGTGACTAGGCCCAGCCCACCTAGATAACCCTCCCCTTCTCAAGGTCAACTCTGCAATACAACGTAACCTAATCATGGGAATAACACCTCACGTTCATAGTTCCTTAGATTAGGGAAGAAAATCTCCAGGAGCCTTCGTAGAATTCTGCCTACCAAGCAGTGCTTAACAAAACCCAGAGAAAATAACTGTCTAGATGAGCCACTGATTTCCCCAAGAGAATAATATTAAACGGGACATCAAATGAAAGTAGAACATAAATGTATGAAAGAAAAGAATCTGTCTTTAGACGAGGCTGAAGAGATTATAGTAAATGGATTAGGTGCCACAGGAAGTGAAGTGTAGCTGTTCTGTTTAATGCTTGCAGATCTTAAATCACACATAGTGGAGGAATGCCGATGTTCAGATCAACTATAAACTGATGATGCATGGGAGAATTTTTTGGGAACTTTTAAAATTAGTCCTTGTGTATGTTTTTTGATCTGTCAGTCCCATTTGCAGAAGAGATCTCTACCCAGTACATCTGTAGGGGTATTACTAAATAAAAGAAAGATATGGATTGCTCATTGTTGGGCCTCCTCCCATAGCTCTCCGACACCATTCTGCTGCTCCAGAATGAAGGCCTATTCACCACACTGCACCAAGGCTTTGGCAACTTGGGCAAATGAAGAGGAGACAGGCTGGAGAAATGGTAAGAGAATGAAGATCTACAGTGATTGAATCTGTTTGGGTTTACCCTATGAAACAAGAAGGAAGACATCTGTACTTCTTCACAAGGTTCTTCTCAATGTCCATTTCAGTTACAAGGTCCTCAACATAAAGAAGGGGAAAGTTCAGAAGCACACCATAGAATATTCATACATTGTTGGCTGCTGAGAAGAAACAGGCTGCTTTTACCTATCCTGAGCTGAGAGCATCTAGATTTTGATTGGATTGTTGCCAGAGCTCATTAGCATAGTGTACCCTGACCTGGAATAGGGAACAGGAAAATGACCAGAACTTACTGGGACCTGAACGGGAGATGAGTTCTTGACAATATTGTCTACATCTGGATAAGAAGTCAGAAGGCTAATCCACCTATATCAAGAACCTTTGAGAGCAATCAAGTTCAAATTGAAGGAAATTGAATAGAGGAAAACGTGTGGGTGACCTGACTTTATCATGGAACCTGACGACTCTGATTCTGAAGACAAAGAGGTATTAAACTGGGACATTCATGACATGAAACTGCCACAGAATGTGAAAAAGACTGACTGTTCCAGGAGTGGCCAGATTCCTATGTGAAGCACATGTACAGCTCAGAGGACAGGAAGGCACAGCGGCACCTGAGCAGCTGGGCCATGCGCAACACGAACAACCGCAACTCTCGCATCCTCAAGAAGTCCTGCCTGGGCGTGGTGGTGCGCGGCCACAACTGCTCTACCAAGGAGGGGCACAAGGTCTACCTGAGACCTGCGATCTGTGACAAAGCCCGGCAGAAGCAGCAGAAGAAAAGTTGTCCCAACTGTAATGGGCCTTTGAAGCTGATTCCTTGCCGAGGCCATAGGGGCTTCCCCGTCACCAACTTCTGGAGACACGATGGACGCTTCATATTCTTCCAATCAAAGGGAGAGCATGATCATCCAAAGCCAGAAACCAAGTTAGAAGCTGAGGCAAGAAGAGCAATGAAGAAAGTGCATGGGGCACCTGCCTCTGTCTCCCTAAAGCTGAAGGGGAACCCAGGATCGAAGTCTCTTCCAGGTGAAACACAAAGTCAGGGAAGTTTACCTTTAACTTGGTCATTCCAGGAAGGTGTCCAATTGCCTGGCAGTTACAGTGGACATTTAATAGCTAACACTCCCCAGCAGAATTCACTGAATGATTGCTTATCCTTCTCCAACAGTTATGGTTCAGGGGGAACCACTGATCTGGCAGACCCGACTTCCACCTTAGACCCCACTAAGCTGTATGAAAAATGCAGATTTTCCAGTAATAGGATCTACAATAGTGGAGACCTGTTTCAGCCTTCTGCCTCTGGAGTCTACTCAGATTATGACAATCTGCAAGCATGGAATAAAAACGCTGCTTTGGGGAGAAGCCCTCTCAATGACAACTATTGTCCCCATTATCCTTTTCCTCTGACCGGCTGGCCTTGTGACTTCTTTCCTTCCCAGAATTCTTTGGAAAACTTTCCCCAGCAGATTCCCCTGGAACCACCTGCTGCCAAAACTAGCTGCCACCCATTATGGCCAAATCCAGGGGGCGAGCTTTATGAAGAGAAAGTGCCTGTGGATTTCAACAGCTACGTTCCTTCTCTCACTTACCATCCACCACAGGAAGACCCCTTTCTGTTCACCTACACCTCCCATCCTCACCAGCGATGCTCCCTGCCAGGCAAGAGCACCAAGTGGGATTTTTGAGGAAGAAATGACCTATATGGGTTTGGATCATTGCAACAATGAAATGCTTCTACACCTCTGTCCTTTAAGATGACTTAAATCTTTCGACAATCCCTTCCCTCCTGCAAAAACAAACAAACAAACAAACAAAAGAAACCAAACAAACAAACAAAAAACTACTTTGAGAAATGGCTGGAAGAATTTCCTTAGGAAGCAGCTTTTAAAACATAACTACAGATAAATGGGAATCACAACAAGTGGTAGGCAAAACATTTTTCATGCAAATAATCTTTTTGCCTCCTCCACCCTAATGCTTCCATCCTCAGTAAGGACTAGAAACTTATCCAGTCTGCTGTGTGAAATGCCCTCTGATCTCCCCACCCCACACTCATTGTTTGGGGCTTTTAGCACCTCTGCTACCTATTGGGTTTCATTGTCACAGACAATATCAAATGGAGCAAAGATGTGAAGAGTCCACCTGCTTAGGATCTCCTCCATGCCTTCTTTTTCATAACAAAAAATGACAGAACCCAGAAACAGAGGGTAGAAAGAGCTGCAGAAGTATATAAAGATAAATAGTCTAGAATTGATATATTTAATACTTTGTTTAGTAATCAAATTCATTTATAAAATATGTATTTTCTAGTTGAGTTCTTGTCAAGACAAGAAGCATGAACTAAATCCATAAAGGAGAGCAGAATTAAATGGACACATGAAGAGAATTCCAGTGTTCTACTACATTACTCACGTCCTTCTCCCTCCTCCTCGCTGACTTCACCTTTTAAAGGGATTTGATTCTGTCCTATTTAAGTTATTCTTTATTCCACCTAACTCAGTGCCAAATTCGTAATATGTAAGAACTGTTTGCTTAGAAAAGTATCTTTGGGGACTGGGCATGTTGCTCAATGCTGAGGTGTGTTTAGAACGCACAAGTCCTTGGGTTCAATCCTCAGCACTGAAGAATAAGAAAGAAAAGTCTGCATAATTAACATGGTCATGATTGGCTAGCCATAGTTGAATGCCAGTTCCCCCTCTTTGCTGAAGTGTGTTAATGCAAACAAATAAGTATTTTTAAAAATAGATGATTTTTTTTATTTGTAACAAACACACATGATATAAAATTAAAAAGTAAAAAAGAAAAGAAAGATATGTAGATATTTTGTAATTTTGTTCTGAAAGTAACAGTTTCTGGTTGGGATATGGGAACATCTGGAGATTTCCCCCCTTCTTTTACAGAAGTACTTACCAAATGTGTTACTTTCTTTCTTTTTTCTTTTTTGGTACTGGGGATTGAACCCATGGGCACTTAACCACTGAGCCACATCCCATTCATTTTTATATTTTATTTAGAGACAGGGTCTCACTGAGTTGCTTAGGGCCTCACTAATTTGCTGAGGCTGGCTTTGAACTTGCAATCCTCCTGCCTCAGCCTCTTGAGCCACTGGGATTACAGGCATCAGCCACCACGCCTAGCTGAAATGTGTTATTTTTGACATGTCAAAAGTCCCTCCTTGTAATCCAGTTACCCTTTCTTGCCATTTATTCAGATGGGTGCAAGAGTTAGAATCATAGGGAGTCTATAAAGGAGGGGCAAGTTTTGTCAGGGAATGCTTGTGGCTTTAAGGAAGACAGTCGTGTGACAAACAGCAATGAGGCCATTGCATTCAGCAATGAATGTGAATGGCGTGGGACCCAGGCATGGAACACTGGGATCACCAACCAGAGACTCAAAAGGAGACACATGACCAATGACACGAGAATAACTTAATCCAGCTTGCATACTACATAAATGATTTGTGGTTCAAACTGAGAAGACACCAAGTTGCCCTCTTGAAGGTTGTGATGAGGAACCCAAGACAAATTGTGACCAAACATCTTTGCACAATTTGGCTACTGTCTATGAACCCACATCCATCAGTTTGGGGTGCTGACTTGGATTAAGGATTTATTAGGCCTTTGTCTCCATATATGTGCTTTGGATCACATTCTTTTCTTTTTTTAAAATATATTTATTTATTTTTATGTGGTGCCGAGATCAAACCCAGTGCTTCATGCATGCAAAGCAAGTGCTCTACCACTGAGCTACAACCCCAGTCCCAGGATCACATTCTTTTAATATTCAGAAAGCACAGGAAAATCAGAAACAGACAATACAAGACTTTTTAAAACAGACAAAAGTGAGAACAAATGATATAGTGGAGAATAAGTACATAAGTAGAGGGAATAATTGCTAGATGCTGTACTTCCAAACCAAAATATCTAAACAAAACCAAAATAAATCAGATGAAACAAATTAAATCAGATAAATTCAGAAATAAAAGCCCAGGGAAACAATCCAGAGCTCAAGTGTTGTTAATGCTGATTCATTTGGCAGTGGACCAGGAAGACCACTGAGCTAGGCCCAGGCCCAAGAGGTATGGAATTGACCACTGTGTGGTCCAAGGGTCCCATTGGACCTTCTTAAGCAAGTCTTCCAGAGGATATTGGTGGGGACTCCAAAATTTGAAGAGAAAACTCATCACTCAATATCTGAGCTCAGTATCTGAAATTGCTAAGCAAAGGTCCCATTGGGAGGTGACACTGTGCTTATGGGACACAGTCTCTATGAAACAGGAAACTGCTGATTTTTTATCGAGTTTTGGAAAAATAAGGATTTCAGGACCCAACCCTTCTAGAAGCAGGAGTGTTTATGAGTATGTTGGCATTTAGCCACTGTTCAGGCTTTTTAGGGGGTGTTGGCTGATGGCTTGATTTCAATCCTGCAGGGCTGCCTCTGACTGGCTGACTTTGAGCAATGTGGTTAGTGATGTAAGTAGTCACTGGCCAGTTGGGATGAGTTTGAAAATGGTTCTGCTGGGTACTCTTTACTATTTCCAAAGAACAACTAGTGGGTTTTTTTTTTTATTTTCTGGAAGAAAAGATCTTTTTAAAAACAATTTTCGGCTACAAGAAGAAAGATAAAAGTTTTAGAAAAGGCAAATGAGGTGTCAAATGGAAAGAGCAGGGCTCTGCTGGATCTTGGGTGTGGTTATTGAGCAGATATTATTCCTCCCCCAGTTCATCTTAGCCTAGAACTTCAGTGTGTGTCATGGGAGCACCGGGACTCTTCCCTGGTCACTGTCTCAGGATCCATGGACTGTAATCTTCTTGTTTCTCATTAGTATCTGGTGAATTAGAAGATCGCCAAACGAATAAAGAAGGAGAGTCAGAAGAGCTTACTTCCAACCTGCTCTGCTCTGATGGACAAGGTAATTAGGACTTAAAAATCATTAAAACAGACACAGTTCTGATAAAGAGGAAAAAACATGATTTAACTTTTGATGATTTCAAGTTTTACCTGGTGTTTAAGGCACAGAAGCTAAGAAGGGAAAATGGTACCCAGCCTTCTGCTTAAACATTCTTACCTTCCAACGATAATTATTTTCTACTCACGCTTTACTGAAAGTTTTGGGCCCTTTTCATAAACACAAGTACATATCCCTTAAAAAAATTAAAAGAAAGACAGGAAGGGGAAAAAATTAAGACTGAAAGGAAGAGTCAGATACAGGAGAATAATGAAGGGAAATTTTTCAGAGGAAGAAATAGAGAAGTGGGGACCAAAGGGTGTGGGGGAAAAGGTGGCAAGGCAAATGAGATGTGTTCAGAAATCATAATTTTGTTCCAGACACAGAGCAACCAGCACAGGGAAATAAGAAGTGTACCTGTGTCATGTGTTTCTCAAGAGATGTGCCAGGAGGCTCAGGAACAGGGGCGGACAGCAGCCAAGCGCAGGATGCCACGGGTAAGGCTGCGGGGGCCGTGGTGCGGGAGGGCTTTGGGAGGGCTTTGGGAGGGCTTCGTGGGTACCACGGGCCCCGGTAAAGCAGCGACTGGTGATGCAGTCCACCCCAGAATCCCTCTCTCTGTGTTTGCTTGGCCTGAGGCTTTTGGGAACTGCAGGGAGGCTAGAAATCTTTATACAGTCCCATTTAACAGGATGGGTTCTGTTGAGCATGTAAGCATGATGTAAAAATGCACTCTTTAAAAATGGCAGGTACCTTCTTTACCACAGTTAAACACAATTTTCCCAGGAACCCAAGGAAGCCACCTGAACTTCCGCTGGTAGACTACAGTGTCACTTTCCCACAGCCTTAGAAAGGTGTCTGTCCACAGGCAGAGTCCTGCTGTCTAACTGGCAGGAGGAAAGGCTTCAGACCAGCTCTTCTCAATCCAGGGCATGTTTTCTACTGAGAGCCTCCAATGTGTCACGGATTTGCACAGGGATTGCCTAGAAAATTTTGCAAAATTTAAAATCTTATTTAATCTGTAGAAAAATCTGAAGGCCTGAGCAAGGGCAGGGGCATCTGTTTCTATTACCAAAGAAACAGTTTTTCAAAGTCCTGTTGTGGAAAAAAAGAAGACCCAGGGCCCCTCCTGAACGCTTACTTCTCAGTTCAGAAGGTTTTTGGATTCTTTTACAAGGAAGAACGAAATGATAATCCAGACATTTTTGTAAGTGTAATTTCTGCAATTAGAAATTGTCCTAAGACTTGTTTACTTTTATTTATTAATATCTATTTCCTCATTATCTCTTGTTATTTTCTAGACACTGTGAATATTGGAAACCAAGCTACTTTAGGAAAACCCAAGAGCAAAAGAAGTAAGAATAAATGAGACTTTACTTGCTTCTAATGTTGCAGATGAGTCTTTAATGCTTATTATTATTATTATTATTACCATTATTACCATGCCATGGTAGACAGAATAATGGGCTCCCAAAGATGTCTGTGACTGAATCCTTGGACTTTGTAATCTGATTTCTTCCAGATAGAGTTAAGCTAGGGACCTGGAGAGGGAGAAACTATTTTGAATCATCTGGGTGGGCTCAATCTAATTTTATCGGCCTCAGAAAGTGGAGAGGCTTTCCTGAGAGAGGGAGGTGTGGTTGTGGAGGGGTGGTGGGAAGGGTGCAGTGTTGCTTAGTTTGGAGGTGGAAGAAGGGACCAAAGCATGTGATTGACCTCAGAATCTGGAAAACTCAGGAATGTAGATTCTTCCTACAGCCACCAGAAAGAGACTTCTAACTCATATAACTATCAGATCATAATTTTGTGTTGTTTTAAGTCCCTAATTGTGTGGTAATTGTTATGGAAGCAATTGAGAGCAAATCAGCTTTTGGTACAGACAGGCACTGTATAGTGGCATTTCTGCACTAGCAGACCACAGATGTGGTGGTCCTGCAAGACTGCATCACCTAGTGAAGTTGTAGCTCTCTTAGTTGGTGTAAGTACATTCTGTGATGTTTGTGTAGTGACAAACCACCTGCAACACTTTTCTCAGAATGTGTCTCCACTGTTAAGTAATGTATGACTCTACTTGGAAGTGGGGTGCAACCATAACGCATTCCTAAAAATGTGGAAGTGAGTGGATTTAGGTAGTGAGTAGAGAATGGAAGGATTGTAAATAGCAGGATAGAAAGGCTTAGAATGTCTTGAGCAGATCATTGGTAGAAATATGGATGCTAAAGTCTCTGCTTGAGAGCACTCAGAAGGGAGTGAAGAACATGGTAGAGAAATTCTGTGTTGTCTCAGAGAATGCCTAAATCAAACCCAACAGACGTTTAGTAAAAGTATGAAGGCTTCCGATATCACAGGGGAGGCCCAGAAAGGAATAAAAACGTGTCTTTGGAGACTGGTGGGAAGGGGCTCTTTACTATATAGTGGCAGAAGGCTTAGTGAAATTCTGTCCCGCCACTCTGTGGAAAGTCAAGAGGTTTCAAAACAGAGTTAGAAGGTGCATCCTGCTATCTTTGCCAATTATAGTAAAGTTTAAGAGGAAAGGGATCAATTGAGGGAAGAACTGCTAAAAGAAAAGAAATAAAGGCTTGGTGAGCTGGAAAATTCCCATCCTGTCCAGGTTACAAAAGATGCTCAGATTAGGAGACTCACTGTCAGGAAAGTGTGCTTTGGTCAGAGGTGACCTAGATAGAATGTCTGTGAAGCTTTTTGCTAGTGCCTGGGAAGTCGTGTAAGGTTGGAGTGTTCACTCAAAAATAGGTTCTAAGAAGAGAGGAAGTGTGGGACTATAGATCCATTCAGTCATCTCATCTGAAGTTAAAAACATATATGGGTATCTAGGGAAGATCTATGGGGTGCCTGTTGTCTAATGGAATGCCCATGACATATGTGGGAGATCCCTAGGATTCTGAGAATATTGTAGCAAGAGAAACAATGTGGTCCATGTTCTGTAGAATTTATAATCTGTTACTGTAGGTGGCAAAAGGGAATTTGAAGATAGGAATAAGGGCTGGAGATATGTGGCTCAGTCGTAGAGTGTTTGCCTAGCATTCACGCGACCCTGGGTTCAATCCCCAACACTGCAAAAGAAATTTTTTAAAATGAAGATAGGATTAAGTTAAGGATACTGAGGTAGGGAGAATATTCTGGAGTATTTGAATGGTGCAATCAAATCACATGGAGTTTTAAAATCAGAGATCCTTTTCTTCTTTGGAAGGAGGGATACCTAAGGGCATAGGACCACAGGAGAACCATCAGAGAGGCACAGTGTAGCTGGCTTTGAAGATTAAGTAGGGTCTCTGAACCAAAGGTTGTAGACAGCTGTGGGAAGCTGGAAAGAACAAAGAAATGACTTCTCCACTAGTGCCTCAAGGAGGAAACAGATGCCTTGTGGGACTGCGGGACCCACAGCTGATTTCTGACCTGTAGAACTGTGAGTCAATAAGCTTATGTTGTTTGAAGACACTAAGTTTATAGTAATTCATTATGACAGCAACGGAAAACCAGTACATTCAAAAGACAAAAAAAAAAAAAAAAAAAAATCCTCCATATATAATTATATTAGATTTGAACTTTTTTCACTGTATAATTTCATTTATATTAAATACTTACCTAAAATTATAGAGACAAGAAGAGTGGTAGTTGCTAGGATATATTAGATTTTTAAAAATATAAATTTATTTTTTTTTAAATGGTTTATATCTTTATGTTATTTTTTTTTCTGATGTTAATACACACACACTTTGGTGTATATTTTCCTGTATCTTTTTAATATTTGTATTTACACATTTAGAAAAATCCTGTTTATCTAATAAATCTATTCATACTGCTATGTCTCCCTCAATTTAAATCAGTATATCATACACTAGACCCAATAACCATTTAATATTTTACTTAGTTTTATTTCATTCCTATTTTAATTTGCAGTGCTTTTACTTTGGGTACATTTTTCATTTGCTATGACCATTTAGTTTCCTTCTCTACAAATACCTGGAACATAGGCCTTGTTGGTGTCTTATGTTGTTCTCTTTACCATGCAGAATAACTGTAGAACTACTTGTATATTTTACCTGCATATGTTGCTATATTTTGTTTCATTAGATGTTATTCTTTTAAGTTTTTTTAATTGCATCTTTATCCTAGAGAAATTTGAAAAATTTATGTAGTCAAATCTCTCAGCTTCTTTCTTGATGGTTTTCAGGTTTTATATAAGCTTTATTGAGAATATTTTCTACCTCGAGACTTTGGAAATATTTTTATTTGCTTCTAGAGTAATTGAAATACTTAGTATGTTTCAATGTTTAATATTTGTATTTACACATTTAGAAATAATCCTGTTTATCTAATAAATCTATCCATACTGCTATGTCTTCCTCAATTTAAATCAGTATATCATACACTAGACCCAATAACCCAGTAATGTAATGAGACTCACCTTTTTGTGTCTGATGTGAGATAGTATTTATAAAAAATAACCCCAACATTAAATATCATTTAATGTACTTTTTCTGTCATACACAGATCTGTGTCTGGAATCAACTCCGAATCACTAGTCTGTTTATTTCAGCTAACATTATATTCAAAAACAAAATGCTAAAATCTTTTCTTTTAAGATCAGAAGCATCTCACCTTATCCCTTCAACACAGCACTGGAAGTTCTAGCCAGAGGAATTAGGCAAGAAATAAATAAAAAGTGTACAAATCAGAAAGCAACAAGTAAAACTCTTTGCAGATAATATGACCTTATAAATAGAAGCTTCTAATGACTCTACCCCCAAATAATTAGAACCAATAAATGAATTCAGTAAAGTTATAGAATACAAATATCAACATAACACAGCTCAGTAGTGTTTCTCTATATTAACAACAAACTAACCAGAAAATCCCTATATAATAGCATCAAAAAGAATAAAACACTTGGGAATAAATTCATTCTAGGAGGTGAAATACTTATATACTGAAAACTACAAGACATTGGTAAAAGAAATTGAGCAATGCAGAAATTAATGGAAAGATATCTCATGTCCATGGATTGGAAGAACTAATACTGTCAAAATGTCCATATGCCCAATGTGATCTACAGATTCAATACAATTCTTATTAAAATTCCATTGGCATTTTTCATTGAAATAGAAAAAAGTGATCCTAACATGTATACGGAACCACAAAAGACCCCACATCAGCCAAGTAATCTTGAGAAAGATGAACAAAGCTGGAGCCATCACACGCTGACACACTTTACTATGAAGCTTTAATAATCAAACCCATACAGCACTGTCACACAGATACACAGACCAATGGGACAGAATAGAGAGCCCATAAATATAACCGCACATGTGTGGTCAAATAATCTTTGATAAGGGCACCAAGGGAATAGTTTCTTTATGTAGATCTTATATGTTTTTTAGTTTCCTTATCAGCTTTAAAATTCACCACTTTAGGGTAAAATGGAACAAATGTGTACACATTTAACAAATGGGTGGTCATATAAATACCTCGACAATCAGCGTAGATTTCCATCACCCCCAAAGGTTCTCTTGGGTCCCTCTCCCAACCCCCTGGCTCTTGGCAAGAAGTAACCTCTTTTTATACATATAGTTTTTCTTTTATGAAAATTCATATCAATGGGGTCATACAATAAATAGATTATCTATATCTGACTCATTTCACTCTTAACATAATGCTTTTGAGACTCATTCATCTTGCTGTATGTATCAGTAATTACTCTTGTTTTTATTGCCAGGAAGTGTTCCATTGTATGGATACACAGAGATAGTTTATCTGTTTATTTTTTATAATCATTGAGCTGTTTCCAGTTTCATCTATCACAACAAAGCTGCTAGGAACACATGCATACAAATATTTGGGTCAACATATTATTTCATTTTTCTTGGTTGGATACCTAGGAGTGGTACAACTGGGTCACGTGAATATAAATACAGGTTTGATATTTTAAGAATCTGCCAAAACATTTTTTTAGATTGATTGTTCCCTTTTACCTCCCCACCAGAAATTCATGATAGTACTAATTGACCTACATATTGCAGATAGTCTTTTGTTAGTTTTAGGTCTTACAGTCTGTGGCTTTCCTTTTAATTTTCTTAACATTGTTTGTTAAAGAGCAAAATTTTAAAATTTTGATGAAGTATCCTTCTATAACTTTTCCCTTTTATAGTCTGTGATTTTAGGGTACTATGTAAAAAGTCTTTGCCTAACTCAAGATTTTATTTTTGTTCAAGAAGTTTTATGTTATTAGTTTTTAGATCTATGACCTGTTTGGGTTAGTTTTCGTATATGGTATGAGGTAAGGATTGAAGGATTGTTTTTTCTTGGCATATGAATTTCCATATGAACCATTTGTTGA